TGTTAATAGGACTATTGACTATGTCAATATCGCCTCTGGAAACTACACTAAGCACATGGCATCAGGCGAGAAGATCACTTTCTCCATAATCAGCAGTCTTCCAACTTAGCTCTGGCCCACCAGGCTGGTGCGAGCCCCTCGGGATCCTTTACAGCCCTGGCAGAAACCATCCTTCCTTCCTCATTCTTGCACTCTCCGTGCCAAGCTCACAGTAGGCCCCCAGTGAGCATCTGTTGGGCTGAAATGAAGTCCCAGGCCCCAGGATTCTACTCAGATTTCCCCAACTCACAGCCTAGCCAATATCCAGGAAGCCTGAGACTTTTTGCTTATTTCTGGAGGCCTCCTCTGGTCTCTGTCACAGCCCCTCCCAGACCTCTGCTTTCTGTGCTCTTCGCCCCTGCAGGCCCTCCAAACCCATTCTCCCACTTTGTTTTGCCACGTCATAATCATTTACTTTCTATAAAGGGATTCTTACATCTATTATTTCATTTAATTCTCCCCTTTACTCCATTTCAAAGCTCCGTTTAACAGATCATGAAAATGTCTTCATAGATGAAATGAAGTCCTCTGTCAAGGCCCCTCCGCTAGTGAATGAGGTAGCTTGTCAAAAGTCCTTTGGATGGATATTGCTTCTAATCCACTCCGAACCATACTGACTCGAGCAAATCCTTCATTCATCCATTTACTGATTCAAAAACCACTTATTGGCCATGTGAGACACAGTGTTGGTGCCAGAAACACAGAGGTGAATGGAGAATGGAGACACTGTCCTCCAGGGATAACTGAGGCTCCATGTCCCCATCTGTCAAAATGGAAATAATATCTGTCTCTAACTCCAGTGAAAGACTACTCAGAGATCAAAATAAAACAACACGTATACATGTATAATTAGCATATATGTAGATGTAGGAAGAGAGTTTGCACCAACAGTCTAGGCAGATCTTCAGGATAGCCACGGTATTTCCAGATTCTGACCTAGCCGATTCTCCAGAGGCCCTGGTTAAGCACTACCACTTCCTAGAACATGTAAGTCCAGAGAGGTTTATTAAGCTCTAACCAGAAGCTCCACCTTGTGCTAAGCAATGAGGGGCTTCTCCCAAAGTGTAAGACAGGACCAGAAATATGTGCCAGTTTTCCTTGGGTTTATGGTAAACGTCTGATGGCCCTGGTGGGTCCTCTCAGAGGGGGGCCCATGGTAGGATGCAGAATTGAACCATTTTAAACACGTGGGCTTTCAAGACAGATCGGAGTTTGAATCCCAGCCCTGCCATTTACTAGCTAGTAACTCTGGACAAGTTTCTTACCTGAGCTACCTCAAGTGAAAAATAAATGTAAAAACAGTACCTCATAGAAGCATTGGGGAAATTAAATAATGTATATGAAATGCTTAAAACAGAACCTAAAACCTAGTAAGAACTCAGTAAGTAGCCCCTGGCATTAAGTTTCTTCTGCTAGAGCGCAGGTCTTGGGGTGTCTCACGAACCTGAAAGATGCCCACACCTTCCACGACACCCAGGGCAGTCAAGGTTGCATCGGTTGGAGATGCAGGAGTTCCTAGCCCCTGCAGCCCCTGGTGCAGATCTCCCTGTCTGCAGGGCTCGGCTCCAAGGAGTCCAGCTGGGTGCATCTGGCTGGGGAGATTAAATTATTTTTGAATTCCTAACTGAATGTTCTTTTAATGGAAACTCAATGACAGGCATTGAAATAGATTTCCTCCATAACCCCTCCTCCCGCTGCAGCCCGCCCCCCCACCCCCCCCACCCCCACGGCTCTGTGTTGCACTGTTCCCGATAACCTTTATTCCCTACCCCTGGACTTTTATCTCCCCAGTGACAAACAGCCCTTTCTGGACAGAAAGAGGAAATTCCAGTCATTGTTCTCAAACTTCTGGCTTCCAAAATAAAATGCTCTATCTCCCCTGTCAAGCTTTGATTGACATGCACTTCCTGTAAGGGCAGACAACAACGGCCCAGGGGTGGGGTCAGGGGCTCATTTGCATTCTTTGCATCAGAGGTTTTCACGTTTGTTCTAGATGGGGAAAGATCCCCCACGCTATTCACCAAACCATCCCGCGGAGAAGCCATGTCCCATTTTGTGAAAAATCTCCAAGGAAGGCACCTCCTCAACTATCCACACAGTCCACCAGGAAAGTTCTTTGCTGTCCTGTGACACACCCATTAGCCATGGAAACAGACACTCTGATCATCTCACTTCTTAGATCTGGCAGCTTAGAGAGAGGATCTTTTCCTTCCACACTTTCTCTCTTGTGGAATAAATTTTTAGACCATCTCCCAAATCTTAAATCTGAATATTGGCACCAGAGTCGACCTAAGTCCTAGGAGATTAGACCAGGTTGGGACTCTCCAAATCAAAACCCTCATAGCAACAGAGCTAAATTAGGCACTTCAAGGGGAGTCGGTGCCAAGGAAAACTCTGAATATGGTACAGCATCATGGGATGCAGTTTTTCTTGGAAGGAATAAGAAATACTGAATTGCTTTCAGAATGGATAGATAATTAAGTAAATATAACAATACAGCGCACCTGTAGCAATTACAGTACTAATATGGTCAGGTCCTACTGGGGACAACGTTACTTCATTGGAATAAAAAGCCTGCCTTTAGCATTGGCATTAACCTTTAGGCAAGTTAGCCTTCTGGAACCTTCTATTTCCCATTTATTTTCTTTACTCACTGAGCACCTATGCCTTTGGTCACCCCCTCTTTTTAAACATCCAGGTTTTTTATGCTGCTTTTGGATTCCGGCCACTCCTTAGGATTATTAAAAGGTACCTGCTGACCCTCATTTCCTCAGGGCCTTATTGGATGTAAGTATATTAATGGTTGCTAGAGGTTCAATGGGAATTTGCATGAAGAAAGAGACGCCAGATAGCAGAATGCCTTAATCCTAATAAAGGAATATTTGAAAGCACAGATTTCCACCGAATAACCCAGAAGGATTCCAGTTTTTCAGCTCTCTTAACCATCAAAAGGAGTAGATTTTATAAGATCATTTCACTTCCAGCAATCCCCGAGCATGCTGTTAATGAGCAGAACAGACCAGAAGGAATGTGTTCTGACCCTCCAGTTTATGAAGGGACTACAGAGTCATAAAACCTTATGACAGTGGGCCACCAGAGAATTCTGGCTTCCTCAAGCTTTTCATACCTCATTTCCTTCAGCTTTGTCAATAGATCAAATTGCGGTGCCAGCTCATGTATAGGGCACAGACTAATCTCCCATGTGGGCCAGTTGCGTCCAGTGTTACGGCCACTGACAAAGTGCACAACCCTTAGCCCATCAGACTTCGTACTGATCTCGGTCAGAAGGACCAGAGCGTGTGTCTGAATCTGAACAAACTCATGCCCAGGCCTGGGAAAACAGAACCATCCCCAGTGAAAACTGCCACAACCACCACTTTGTGTGTCCAAGACACATTGGAGTGATCATCAGGAGTGATACAGGGAAGAGGCATGTCTGTAACCACAGGGTCTTTTCCCCCAGGGTAAGCTGGTGTCCAGACAACATATGGTCTTATTTGCCATGTTCCCACCCCTCCCACATCGCCCAGGAGAAAGTCCACCCTCAGCCAGAGGGATGTCACCTGTTCGGTCTGTTACAGTTAACACACATGTCACCTGTCAGTCTGTTACAGTTAACACATAATAACTGACACTTTTGGAAAGCATGTGCACAGTTTCAGAGATTTAATATATGAATCAACACACTGAAAACATTTTGATTCCTAAGGAGCTTTGAGTCCCATTCCTCCCAGGATAGATTCAAAATAATAGAGGAGGAGGACCGAATGAGACATTCAGAGTAAAACCCTTCCCTAGAGATCAATCCTTGTATTAAGTTGGTCCCTTTGAGGAAGATGCAGTGTCGGCCCTCAGAGAAAAACACAGCTCATGTTTGCCTCCCTGAGGGGGTCACAGACCATCCCTTTCCTTTCCACAAGTCTTCTTCAGAGACAGCATTTCAGTACAAACTCAAGGCAGAAAAACACAAGATACTTTTTTTCTCAGAAGCACTAGCAGTATTGTCCCTTCTAAACTGACATTGTGCCTTTAAACTCTTCACTGCCTTCTTGGAAGATCAGGAAATATTCTTTTAACAGATTTGTAGCCCTTTATCCCACCTGACACAGATTGGAAGAAATATCACCACCATGTTCAAATCAAGCATTCGTTCTTTGGGAAAGTACTCATTGAGATTCTAGAGTGGTGATTTAGCCTCTAAATGTACCACGTGAGATCATTTGGGCCAAAACCCAACTTGGACTGCAGTGTCTGGATGTGCCATAAAGCAGGTTGAGCTCAGTGTTCCTCTCCACATTGGATACATAGAGATGCAAGGTCCGTGGCTGGAGCCTTCCCTTGCTCTTCAGGAAACACAGCATGACCCAGACTAAGATGAAAGCTCCAACAACCAGGGCTGGAGAAGCTCAGAGCCTCACAAATGTTCTTGGAGTACCTACCAGTCTTTTCTTACTGTCTCTGATTAGTTCATCTCCTCCAACCAACCAAAAATGGCTCTCTAAGGGAGACCATTTTTCCCTTGATAAAAACCAATGTTAAAAGTGGCTTATTTCTTATCAGTAGACTAAAAATGAGAATATGGTTTTTCCCAGATCCTATCTAAAGCTCATAACTTCTTCAAGGAGACTTTTAAGATCTCATTTGGCCTGTCTGTGAAACTTTTGATGATTTTGTTTCTATCAACACTGCATGATTTCAAATAATCATATTCAAGATTCCAAGTGAACTACTATGGCTTCCATACTGCTATTTCCTGTAAAAATATTGCATGTTCTAATGCAGTTGACTTGTAGAGCTACCTGTCTTGTAAGATCGTGGCTGTGGGATTCAGGGGCATGGTGCTGATAGACGTTGAAGGCTCTTGTCCTAATTTCATATCCTCAAATTGTTGATTGCTTCCTAATACTTCTAGTCACTAGGTATCTTCAAGATTTTGCTTTACTCCTGTTGAAAAACCACTGTCACATTTTGGTGTCATCTGTTTCATTGACTTCTGACAAGTTGAAGTTGGGATTGTCATAGCCTCTCTTCATCCTGGCTCTAGCGTCTTTCTCATTATAAAGGCACAAGGCACAATGAGGGGTCTCCACTTCCACAGTCTTACTAAAGTTATGGAAATCCACTCGGTATTTCCCTTCCTTAGTCTTGGATACCATGGGAGCAAAACGGTAGCCCCAGAGCACCTCTTCTGGGACATAGGATGTTCGGACTTGGCAGGTAGCACTGGTTGATTCCACTGTGCCATCTAAAAACACTACTAATTCAAAGTCTTGCTGGGGAAGGGTTTCTGCTGCCATGTGGAAGAAGGGGCTGTTTTGATCAATGACATGGTAAATTGTCAATGGGGAGATGAAGAATAAATTTTCATTCCCTGCATCAACTACAAAGTTGATATTGATCTGGTCCAAAATAATAGTCTCTCCTTCAGGAGTGACTGTGGTCCTCAGGAGCTTCCCATATATGTGACTCCCAATAAGGAGGCTCTTCCTAAGATTAACCACTCGGATTAGGAGACAAAGCTTCCCGCCCCGCTTACTGATCACTGCGTTCTTGCTGAATGTAATGGTCTTGGCACGTTTTTTGGGTCTGGAGATCTTGGCTAGAATGGCACCACACATGAAAGAATTGATGATGACTCCAAGTATAGACTGGAAGATAAGAAGAAAAATGGCTGTGCCACATTGTTCTGTCACACATCTGAATCCATATCCGATGGTCACTTGTGTTTCCAGAGAAAACAGAAAAGCTGAGGTCAAGCCATTAATGTTCTCCACACAAGGGGTGTGGTTGACAGAAGGGTGGAACTCAGGGAGATCTTTGTGGATGTAGGCTACCGCATACCACAGAAGACCAAAGAAGAACCAACTGCCCAAGAAGGTTGAAATGAAGATGGTCATTTTGTATCTCCATTTGAGGTCAAGCACAGTTGTCCAGATGTCCACAAAGAATATAAACCTTGACTGGGCCTCCACGTTGCCAAACTCTATGTTGCATCTTCCATCTTTGGAGACCAGCCTTGCTCTTTGCCGAGAATGCCCCAAAAAGTGAGCAACAAACCATTTCCGAAGATGTTTGAACATTCTTTCTGTCAACGCTCTGATCTGAAACATATCAAAAACAAACAAAATGAAATGATGTTTACAGCAGCAGTGGACTAGGTGCCTCACATGAAGAGCTAACTATATATGAAAGACCATTCAAAACAATCTGAATTACTGAGCATTCAGAAAAGCTGACAGTTTATTCTGGATACCGCAACACTATTTTCAACAGAAACTTTCCACCAAGAGACCATATTGCTTAGATATAAAGAGGGAAAATAATTACAGGGAGATTGAAATGGAAGGAACTTAAGAGGGCATGTATTCAAATGTTTCCTGGCCTTAGTCAGTGGCACACAAACTTAAAAATGCTTGTGATAACCAATTATGACCTGTACTATGATTTATCTGGTATTACTCTTTAAATCAATTCTCCTTTTCCTTTAATAAATTTTTGCCTTCTGCTAAGCAAAAATATCTGTGAAAGCAGAAGCTGGAAGGACTACTTATATTTTTTTGTAAAATATAAAAATAAATAACCCTAAAAAAGATTCATCGCTCTACTACCTAAAGCATCTTCTTTACTGCTATTATCACTCAATATCAAAAGGAATCTGGGGGCGCCTGGGTGGCTCAGTTGGTTAAGCGACTGCCTTCAGCTCAGGTCATGATCCTGGAGTCCCAGGATTGAGTCCCGCATCAGGCTCCCTGCTTAGCGGGGAGTCTCCTTCTCCCTCTGATCCTCTTCCCTCTCATGCTCTCTGTCTCTCATTCTTTCTCTCTCAAATAAATAAATAAAATCTTTAAAAAAAAAAAAAAAGGAATCTGGACCAATTCAACTTTCTCATTTATCCAGTGAAGGAACGGAGATTCAGAAACTTTTAATGACATAGCCAAAGTCGTGTACTAACCAGTGGCAGGATGACAACTAAAAACATAAACCATAAGGTTCCCTGCTTCCAGTCCAGAGGAAACTCTAATATGCTGCATCTCAGTTATTAAATTTTATATTCTAAAGTCAGATTTGCCTGAAACATTTTAAGACAAAGATTGGTCAACTTCCTTTTTTTTTTTTTAAATGTTTGAGACTATTTAGAACAGAGTTCCTCAATACAGTTTGGTCAAGTCCTACCCTATGAGCTCAGGAGTTTGCTCAGTGGAGCTGCAAGCCTGTTTCCTTTTTCTCTCCATGATGTGCCAAGATTCCTAAGAGGAATGGTATGATGGTCACCATCAATAGCTCATGCTTTCTTCCCTGATTCTAAGCTGAAGGGCTGGGAAGCTCTGATTTAAATAAAATCCAAATAATTCTCCATAAAGGTAGAACCATGCTTTACTCACTCCTCTACCCCAGCTGCTAGTATAGTCTATGGACACTCGATAGTTATTCAATGAGCTTAAATGGAATAATTCAGTGAATGAAGTAAGCTCTTCAAAATACCATCTACTCAATGGTTTCTTGTTGATGACATTATTATGACTTCCAGTTTACAGCAAAAAAAAGTGAAGGGATTTTCCCCTAAACAGCCAACAATGATGAAAGCCACAGTCATCAACACTAGACTACCTCCTCCCCTAGATGTGCCCTCCCCCACTCCAAGGTGTGCCCACCATGGTTCACAATGTCTTCGTGGTATTTTTAATTAAATGCAAATATGTTTCTAAAATAGATTTCAAAATCCCCCTTCAAAAATATGTTTATTCATACAAACCAGGAAGCGAAACCAACTTAGTGATACATTTTAAACAAAAGTACTATCCCACGCTGTTTTTTTCACAGCCTTAAGCCAGGTGAAAACATAAGAAGCCAACACCAGGTAGAAGAGGTCAAAAGAAAACCACAGCTGTGGTGATTTGAAATTCTGAGGGCAAGTTCTATAGATACAGAGAAAGAAAATGCTACCAGGAGAACAAACAGCAGTGCACACATTCAGAGGGCCCTGCCCACATCCTACCCAACCCTCATGGACCTCAAGTCCCCAAAGAGTCGTAGGGGTTGGTCCCAGGTGAGGCACACTGAAGAAGAGTCTGCTCCCTCCCCAGCCTCTCTCCTTTCTCTGCACACACGTAGTTTAACCTGGTTTACGTTCCTCCCTCTCCTGGGTTCATGGAAGCTCACACACTGTTTTAAAAGCTCTTCGTAGAAATAAAATAATAATTCTCAAGCCACATTTATCAGGCGAATCCATATTCTCTTTGTCACACGTATTTCCAGAGTTGGCTCCCAAAGCACAACTTCTGAATTTTTCTTCCTCACAACTTTTCTCTTCTAGTCTCTCCTAAGTTCATTTCATTTTGGAAGATAAAGAATATTTCTAGGGGCGCCTGGGTGGCTCAGATGGTTAAGCGTCTGCCTTCGGCCCAGGTCATGATCCCGGGGTCCTGGGATCAAGTCCCGTGTCGGGCTCCCTGCTCAGCAGGGAGCCTGCTTCTCCCTCTGCCTCTCTCTCTCTCTGTCTCTCATGAATAAATAAATCTTAAAAAATTAAAAAAAAAAAAAGAATATTTCTATAGAGTGAATAAGTAACCTCTTATTTATCTCTTGGATAAGTCTGGGTTTCCTTGCCTGCATTACTAATAAAATATCTGCCTGGACTTGCAAAGAGCTAAAACAAAAGCAATCAGCTTATAATGCTTTCCCCAGACCATCTGCACTTACCAACATCCTAAGCATATTCCGACCCGATGTATCCATGTCTGGGGAAAGCAAGGAAGTGGCCTTGGGAGTTGGCCTCTGTCTGCAGGCTGATTTCTTTTAGATTCGGCCTAATTTATTTTAGGGTTTGGTCAGTGGACTGATGCTAATTTCTATTAGCTTGAAAACATTTAATTTGATAGTGGAGTTGGGTAGCTTAAACCAAGGCAATTGGTTGTTCTCAGACTGAGCCCCAAGCGGGGTATGTATTTTTTTTCCAGACCTCACATGGCTTGAATACCGTCATGCTAAGACATGACAACCCCCCAGCTAAGGTCCCTGGGCAGCAGGCATGGCTTGAGTTCCAGCATTTTCCTCCTCTCCTTTGCCACGCTCTATATAGCTCTCTTGCTGTTTCTCATAGGTCATGCCTATTAGCTTTTCACCAGAAAGAATTAGTTATCATCGATCTCTGAGCCTGTTCTCTGAAATACACTGAGATCCTGAGATTTCCAAGTGTTCACAAAGATACAGGTGAATATATAGACTTAGATCAGTACGTATTTGTAAGATGAAAGTAAGGTCACACGAGGAAGAAACAAGATACCGGGTCAATCTCTCTATACAATAGTCTGCATTATGTAAGAAACAGATTTAAAGCAGTCTTTATTGTTGGAGTTATTTTATAAAATCTGGCATTTACTGAAGGTAGTTTTCACATGTACTGTGTTGGCCGATGCTGTTGATTTATTTACTCAAAGAATGAGAAGAATGATACCTAGAGAATGTAAGAATATGGGATAAATCCATCCCTTGACCAAACCCATCATTCACATGGCAGACCCATTATAATCAGCACATAGCCTACTTTGCTTAGATGATGACATCTAATCTAACCACAGACAGAGCAAATATGTATTTTTTGTACTATGGGCTGGTCAGAGATTGGCCCTGGTTGTCTATGTGGTGTAGCATGTACGGTTTTTAGGTTACTTTCTATTGAAATCAGTAAATCTTAATAGCAAGCAAAGGGCTGTACTTTAGCTAATATTTACCAAGGTACTCTTAGTGGCCTGGCAAAGCAAGTGAATTCTATTATTACCATTTTTTTTTTTCCCTTCAGTGCTCCAGTATTCTTGTTCTGTAAAGAGTCCATTCTCAGAAAATAGGCTTTTTGTACACTTTCCAAACACTGAGTGTATGCTTATTGTGTAGGATTTCAAAAACAAATCAAATCTGCACCCATTCTCAAGGGGCTTACAGTCAAATGGGGAAGTAAGCTCAGGAAACCAACAATTACAATGTGGTGTGGTGTTTATATGCCCAAAGGAACACCTTTTCTAAAAGAGCTCTATCAGATGGGTATCCACTCTCTGCACAATACTTCAGTGGACAGAAAGCTCACTGTCTTTTTGCATTCATTAATTTATTTTTCTATCATGACTCAACCATATTGAGTTGCTGCTAGTATGTGTGTCAGGCACTGGACTAGACATTAGAGAAGAAATCCTTTACCAAATGGGCACTCTCCTTGTCACTTTGAAGAAGCTTCCCATCAAGTGTGGGGGGTGGGAGGTGTCAGGATGAGAAACAGCGGGAGTGCTCTGGGGAGAATCTTATCTGAGGCGCTATCGAGGACAAGGCCTGAGGATGGTGTTAGACTCACATGTCGTAGGAACTATTATTTGTTGAGTGATGACAAAGAAATCCATCAACCCATACATAAAAGCAATGAGTTATATGGGTCCCCTTCTAATGGCAATATTTTAGAAGAGACAACCCTAGGTGTGAAGTTTGAGCCAACTGCACTGTAATCATGTGTGACCCCAGGCAGGAGCAGCAGAAGAAAGTGTGAGGGGCTGAAAGAGGAGCCAGGTGACTGGACAACAGGGTGCTAGAGGGTCTCAGCGAGACACGAGGCTGGAAAGGCAAGCAAGGGCCATACACACTCAGTGGTGGAACGCCATGTGAGATATTTTCATTATTGACTCAAATAACAAACCATATGAAGAACACTGGTCTAGTTCTGCTTCAGGGACAACTCATGATAATTCTAAAGAAGCCTGAAGTCTCTTCTGCTTACGAGCCCTTCAAATTCCTGAAAATAAACATGTTTTCCTCCTGGATCTCCTTCTGTCCACAAAAATGCCCCCTTCGTTTGCATGAAACACCCACATCAACTAAAACCCTTCATGAAACGAGGTACCCATGGCACGTGCTCATTGATGATGCTGAAACAATCAATGCAGAAGGTGTGCATTTGTAGGTGTGCACCTGAGAATGGTGGATTTGTGGCTTCCTACAGGACTCACCACAAAGCCTCCTGCCCAATGCCAGCAAACGCTCCAGTCACAGTATCAGAGGGAGGAAAGCGAAGGGACTTGGCTTTTGCTGCCTCTTACTT